AAAACTGTCTTCATCCTAGTTTTTACTGTCACTGTAGCTAGCTTTAGAAATCAAAGATGAGCCTGTCTTCTCAGAGAAAAACAAAACAAAACAAAACAAAAAACCAAAAAAAGGAACTAAAGGTATATTCCTAAAATGTAATATATACAGAATTACTTCTAATCTCAGATTTACCAATCTATGGTAAATTAAACTAAAGAGCCTATATGATCTTAATAAGAATATCCAGAAGGAAGGAATATTTTCACTGTGGTATGTGATAAATACTAATTCCAGCTTCAATTTCCTGTTCTGTGAAAGCTATCTAATGAGTATGGGCCAACGTTACTACAGAATCTAAATCTTGAGGGTAGTTACTCTCTGCACATCATAAGATATAGGGAGGTTTGACTATGTCCAGATGATGAGATGAAGCCCAAAAGACTTGCCCAAACTCACAGTGGTACTTGAGGATCAAATGTCTTTTTGTTCCAGATGAAATGTGGTTTATATATTGAAAGTGAAGGAAGATAGGAATATTTATAAATTAAGTTGCATAGAGAGCCTCCGACAGGAAGAGGATGTTGTCTAGGTATTTCAAGCGTGTTAGTCCATTTTAACCACTACTGAAGAAGCTGAAGTGGTGTATTTTCACAAGCCATTGATCAAAGACACTCAGGGTAAAACAGAGAGACGAGGAGTTTTACATGCCTTTAAAAGCACTAGAAATTTCCATTCTGAAGTATACTCCAGTATTTCAACTGAAGTTGAAACACTGTGCTTCTCCTCAAAATATGCACTTTTATAAAGTAAGGTTTATACATTTCAAAGTTTGGGGTGTTTATTGCTTTAAATGATGCATACCTTCGTGACTCAAACTGAAAAAAATACAGCCAAAGTTGGATTTTTCCTTTTTCAGATAGTAAAATCTAGTGGCTATGTATTATTTACATAAATTAGGAAAGGAGGTAAGAGAGTAAAGACAGAAAAAAAGGGGGAAATTGATAACAGTAAAAGTTATCAAATCATTATACATTATTTTCATTCTTTGATACAGCAACATCTATTTTTCAGTTCAGTTCAGAATAAGAGTAGCTTATGTCAGACCAAACCCTAGAGTGTGGGAAAAAAAAGGCGTTTCGAAACATTTTCTCAGAAATTGTCCAAGGTAGAAATGCTCCATATAGTCCTCAAAAACTAGTAAAATGCCTCCTTTCCCAGTTATATTCATATTTGGCCCTGGCTTGTTTATAATAGAAGACCAGCATATAGCTGAAAATATAAATACATTTAATTTTTTTTTTAACATCAACAATCATCATGAAGCTTTACTAAGTAAAAATGTCTATGTTAAATAACAGATAGCAAAATTAACCTTTTTGCAAACTTAAACCAGTTGCTTTTCACACTGCTTAATAAGCCATTCACCTCTGAAATACTGCCTTGCTTTGCTTTCCAGAAATCCATTTCCTACAATACTTCCAACCACGTTTTAAAATCAACAGTTTCTCATATCTCTTATCACAGAGACTTTTCTCTTTATTTCAACAAACATACTCCTCCATTCAACTACCCTTAAAGTCCGCTTTTGAATTCATTAAAACAACCTTGCAGACACAAATGGAAAGGCCAATTGTGTCACAGAGAATTGGGAGCAAACACCTGAACGTTTTTGCACCAACTGTTTTCCTGTGCCACATCTGGTCCCAAAACTCAAAAGGCTGGTCCCACAAAGCTTCCACCCCAAACACCTTGACAGAGCCAAGGGACTTGGCAGGTCCCACAGCATGGCTGTCCCATCCATGGCCCTGGCTGTCAGGCATGGCGGGAAGGGGGACAAGGTTTATCAGCCACCTGTGGTTTTGCAGTACACACTTCTCCTCACTACAGGCTCACTGGATGTTCAAAAGGATGCCATAGATGCCCTGAAATAACTATAGTTTAGTATACACCTATTCTTGATTTTTATTATCATATTAGAAAACCATTAATTTTTTTTTACTGAAAATAAAACCTTTCGCTCAGGACTTCTTTCAAGCTTGAACTGGATTTAATTTGAAATCATTTAGAAACTGGCAAGACATTATTTTATAAATTCTTTCATTAGTAAAAAATGTGCTGTATACCTAAGAAAAAAACTTCTGCATACTGAACTAAACTGACTTAAGTAAACTAACATGAGGAATATTTTCTTTGCATTTGCAGAACAGGGTACAGAAGTCCAAAAAGAAATGAGGTTTATAATTTTAATAAATTGTTTCCAGAGACAGGCAGTAATTAACTCTGAGCAGTGGCTTGACCTTTCTAAGATTTCAGCAAACATATGCTGCTTGCATATTTTATAACATATTTTTTTATTAGGCTCTCTTGAGTTTATGAGATCGTGTAAGTTCTCACAATTCGAATTTTTGTTTCAAATGCATTTATTTCTAAAAATATTCGCTTAAGTTAAAATCTCAAATTCAAATACAAAAATATTTTAAACAACTCGAAAGTAGCTTGGCAGAAAAAGACCTGGTCCCTATGGACCAGCTGTCTTCACAGTAAGTCCAAAAGCATCGTGGGCTGCACTAGGAAGAACAGCAGCAGCACTCATGGGAGATGATCCTTCCCTTCCCCCCTTCTCAGCACTGGTGAGACATGTCTACAGAGCTGTGTTCAGCTCTGGGCTCCCCAGTACATGAGAAACACAGACACATTGGAGTAAGCCCAGTGAAGGGCCACAAAGATGATGAAGGAACTGGAGCATCTGACATACAAGGAGAGGATGAGAGAGTTGGGATTGTTCAGCCTGCGGAAGACAAGGCTCCAGGAGGTCTCATCAACGTGTGTAAATACCTAATGGGGGAATGAAGAAGAGGGAGCCAGACTCTTTTCGGTAGTATCCAGTGAAAGGATAAGAGGCAATGGGAACAAATTTAAGTACAGGAAATTTCATTTAAATGAAAGAAACTTCTTACAATGAGAGTGAACAAGCACTGGCACAGGCTGTCCAGAGAGGATGTGGAATCTCCATCCTGGGAGATACTCAAAACTCAGCAGGACAGGTCCCTGAGCAACCTGCTTTAGCTGGCCCTGCTATGAGCAGGGGGGTTGGACTAGAGCTGCACCTCTCCAGAGGTGCTTTCCAGCCTCAGCCGCTCTGTGATCCTGACTGGAGCGTTTGGCTCTCACGAGTGTGTTGCACCACTGCAGAATCAGGCTTCCAAATAAACACTTTACAACCATTTCCAAGTTTTGCTTATCAGAACAGAAGCAACTCCAGACTCAGGAGTCTAAATATGAAGCTTTTTTAATCCAGACTCTGGACCCTTAAATCTCTTGCTTATTAAAGATGAAAGGAACATTTTAAAGGAAAGAATTCTGTTTTAAACATTGGTCCATTTGCCCATTTAATAGTTTAGCAACACAGAGAGATATGCTTTCCTTTATGTTTGCAGCTACCCTAATAAAGCAGTAATTAGCAGTAGGTAGTCTCTGATCAGCTCAGCAGGGTATATGATAAAAAGAGTTGATTCCAAACAAGTACATAAAAGTGAAACCTATATAAACAAAATTCAAATAGACAGGGGTTAAATTTGGGCTGTATTCATTTTTAAAATATCTGAATTCCCTACAAGGCACACTACTACTGCATCTAGGCCTGTTAAAATTATCTATAATCAAAATACCTAAAATAACTATTGTCACAAAGCTTTCATGGTTTAAAGGTTACCTGCAGCAGATGATTAAATTGCAGTAGGCTGAAGGGAGGAGAAAGATCTTTTAATCATTTCAGTTTCTGTTTTATTTTTCTGTGTGACAGTATCATCTCTCTTTTCATGGTTGGTACACTACAGTCTGCATCCAACACTCCTGGGGCCATGATCTCTGCTGTCAGAGGGAAAGGGAGGCATCTCTGTCACAGTATTAATTACAGGTCTGCAGCTATGTAACAAGTCTGTGCAAGTTTAGTTAGACCATACTTCAGGTCCACAGTAATACAGAACTATCTAGTCTTTCCATATTCCACCCTGGATCACAACTAACTGAAAAAATACTGTCTCCAGAAGAAGCTTGCTGGATGATTTCCTCCAAATTCATAGCCCTGCTGCTAGCTCTCTCCTGGAGTCTGAATTCTTTGAATCAATTTCTTTTTGCATATAATTTGCAGAGAGCATCATTGAATTTTACATTCTGCCTTTTATATTGGATGCAATCCACATCCTCATTCATTGTATTGCCACTGTTAATTATCATAAGTTAAGTGGTTTGTTAGTATTTTCCCTGACAGCAAACTCCCATACTCTCTCTCGCTTGCATGCTTTCACATTTTCCCCTTGGTAATATATTATTTTACTTTCCGGTTTACTATTCATTAATCTACTTCGGACTGCATTGTTCTGTATGAGTTTAGCTTCTGAAACAGTCTTAATCATTCTCTGACTGCATTTTTCACACCAGCCTCTTTAACTTTCTATTCAGTAAAGAGAACAAATGCAAAAATTATGCAGTTCAATTTCAGCATTCAGACCATTTGTATAAATAATGAGGTTTTATGGTACAGCTAAGCCTCATGATAGCCCATTAGTAAGCTCTTTCCAGAATAAAATTTACTTACAGTGGAGCTACTTTTTACCTCGTTTATTTTAAATCCAGTGAGTTACTTTGTTTCCACTTACATGGGTCAAAGGCTAAGACTGACAATTTCAAAAAGAACACTGGTAAAAAGTCTCTTAATGAACTAACCCATCAACAGGGATATCCAGCTTCACTCACATCTGCACTATGAATCAAGCCAGTACTTGGCTGAGATGTTGGCTGGTGCCAGAAGGAATAGCTGAAGTCCTTTACTTGCTCTTTGCAGGAAAAAACCTAAACCACCATTACTATGTTAGCTTTAGGTATAGTTTAATTTTCCTGTTCTCTTTCTTCCCCTTTCTCTTCCTCAACACAAGACCCAGATTTGTTTCTTGCATATGCTTTTTTTTGTTTTGTTTTCATAGAAGACGCCTTGTTTCTCCAAGTTTCCGCTTGTGTGGAAGAATGCACATAAAATCTATGATATTTGAGACAACGTAAAATGAAGAAAAAGGCAGAATTATATATGGAGGGGGTAACAAAGGGGAGCTCAGTCATAACTGCTTGTATCATCAAGCAGTTAAGTCACCAAGTGTGGAGTTCTAGCTTGTTAGCCAGCATCTCTTTTGCATAAATGTTTCTGAACAATTTCTGTGTCACACACATACAAAAATCTATCCTAATGAAGTTTAATCACAATGTCTCCTGTTCTAGTCAAGAACAAAATCTTCTTCACCACACAAAAAATAGATCTTTTATTTATTTTTATTAAAATGAGTAAAAGAAGTTCCCTCTTTCTAAAAGAATTACTGATGTAAATTTTAGAGTGAATAAAGTTCTTATGTATCAAATGAGCAACTCTCAAAGATGAGAAAAGATTACAGTACACACCAAGGGTGGAAGTACAGAAAATCATCACTGCTGCCATTTTTGCTCAACATTCTCAGCATAAGTTAAACACTTGCAAAGCACAAAGTTGCATTAGTACCACCAAAGCCAAACGAATTTGTGAGTGCTATACGCCGTTTTTCAGTTTTCCACTCCTGAGCAGTTAATGGAACGTAATTGAGATCAAACTCTGCCTCTGTTTTCTGCAAGTTTAGAGTAGGTGGCAAAATTCCATGGTAACAGGACAGTGCAGTAAAAGCTGCTTCAATAGCTCCTGCAGCCCCCAAGAGATGTCCCGTTGCTCCTTTTGTTGAGGAAACCGCAATATTACGTGAGTGATCTTTAAAAAGTCTCTTGATTGCTTGATTCTCAGCAGCATCTCCTAGAGGTGTAGAAGTTGCATGTGCATTGACATATGTTACATCTTCAGGTTTGATCCCAGAATCTTTTATTGCTGCAGACATACACCTAAGGGAAAAAAAGAAAACAGAATGCTGACTTTCCCAATATATTTCTTTCAAATGGACAAACCAAAAGAAAAATGTTTATCAAATGTAAAAATCTGCTTTAGCAAAGATGTAAATGACAACAGATGAATTCATCTAACTAAATACATTAGCATCTACATTTAGCTACCAGAGAAAAGTAGTAGATGTGAGGCCCAATATCAAATCAGACTTGCTGTTAAAAATTCCACAGTTGGGAAAAATACAAAGAAGCTAAAACAATCAATCTCTATAGACTATATTATTATGTCAAAGACCCTTTTCAGTGTAAAATTTGAAAATATTTGAGAGAGAAATAACTACCTGATATTATTACAAAAATTTAGGTATGCTCTATCCAACAAAAATATTGGGAAATTAAAGCAAAAATCTGCAGTCATCCTCCTCATGAGCTTCTTTTGCATGCTTTCCAGAGACTAGAAAATGTCTAGGAGACAGCACAAATTCCTATATTTCATTTTATAAGGAAATTTACTGAAAGTCACACTCTTCTACCCTAATATGGTATGCTTTGTTTGACTCCTGACAACTTGTGGACTGTGACTGCCTCTATAAAACACGCTTTTTTATGAAAAACACATAAGGATCACCACAGCGCCATACTGTGATTTTCTCACAGATTTCCGGCAGAAAGAAGGGAATTACTCAGACATTTCCTTGCACATACAACTTAACCAAGAGCCTCTGAGCAAAAGACCACTGACTCTTTCGAAATTTATGAAAAATAAGTAAATAAAAGGAAGCTCAAAAAAAAAAAAAGATAACACAGGCTTCTAAACAAATTTAAATGTCTCTAGTACAGCCTTCTATCCTTAGAAGCATCCAGTTTAGCTTACATTGGAGGCCACTAACACTCACTGTCGCTAGATAGTGAGCCAACTTTCAGGCAAAAAAGATTACTGATCAACCGTGAGATACATTAATTTACTTAAATAGGTCATCTGCAACAAACATATTTACTTAAGAAGATACCAGATTACTTGTGTAGGACAATCTTTCTATCCACTCTCCTTAGTCTGGCTTTGCCTCTCCCTTCCCGCTGGTTTATTCCTACACATGTATTAGCCTCCTACTGAAGTAGTTATTAGAAGATGATAAAAACATATTCTCCTGATTTTTTTTTGATGTGGTAAATAAAATTCCTACAGAAAAGTAAGAGAAGCATATACATTCCAGATTTAATCCATATACCACTGCAGTAACAAAATATTGGGTTGAAGACGGTATTAAAATGTATTATCTCATCTCAAGGGTGGAAAAGCGCAACATTTTGGAGATACCAAGATTAACTTTCAACTACTTCCCACTGTGAATTTAATTTATATGCTACTGCAATCATAAAATATACAAAAATTCGGTTACAATATATTACCATATCATCTCAAGGGTAAGCAAGTCTGAAAATATGAGATAAGACACTTCTGATTACTCATCTCACACCTAAGTCTGCAGAACAATTAAATGTGAATCAAATAGCATAGAGGGAAACATGGTATATTTATACTTCTAGAAAAATCTGTTAACCCAATAAAGATGCAAACACAGCTTTACAATACCATGAAGAAGTTTGATCTATTTGTGCAGTGATATATTGAATTTTGATATTAAATATTCACATACATTTGGAATAACGCAAACTAAACCTTTGCTAAAGATTCCAATGTCAACTCAGCAATAGTACTCAGCCTACATAAAACTCACCAACTGGTATACATAATTTAGCTAACAATTTAATTAGGTCAATGATAATGATTAGATAAGTATCGTCTACTTGTGAACTGTTTTTGATGAGAAAAACATTGATGAAACTTTACCATTTCCCTAAGCAGTACTAAAGTGTATTTCTGTTATGCCCCTCCACCAACACTCTTCATCTGAACTACTGAATATTCTAACAAACCAAGTGCTCTACAGCTTTCACCACCTGAGACTTCTTGCAACAAACAACATGCTTTTGCAGGGGACGGCCTCTCTTCTCCATGGACAAAGGATGAAGGAGAACCTAAAAAGGTTCTACTGCACCACAAAAATCTTAAAAAAGAGGTTTCCATTGAGACTTATTTATGTGAATAGCTGTATGCACCAAAAGCAAAATGTTTTCACACGAGAAAGTTTTTGTAACTCTATGAAAAAAGGCTGATTCTAGCAAAAACTGGCCTTCACCATGCTACTAAAAAAAGTATTGGGGAACAACAGTACCAGAAGCTCTTTCATTTTTCAGATTTTCAAGCTTTTGTAATATTAATTCAAGATTGAACAGCCTTTCTCTATGAAAAGCACACAGTAACAGAAACAAATGTACCCACTATAATTAACACATGAAGAAACTATTACAGCCAACATAGAGTTCTTACCTGAACGCACCATCTCCCTCTGGATTAGGTGCTGTTATGTGGCAAGCATCACCAGACAGTCCATAACCTAAAACTTCGGCATAGATCCTAGCACCTCTTTGTACGGCGTGTCCATACTCTTCCAAGACCAGCACAGCAGCCCCCTCTCCCATTACAAACCCTTCTCTCTTCGAATCAAACGGTCGACAGGCTGTTTTAGGGCTCGAGTTAAAACTCGTGCTGAGGGCCCGAGCTCTTGCGAATCCAGCCAAAGACAAAGGACTAATGCAAGCCTCAGTCCCTCCAGCCAACATGACATCAGCATCACCAGCAGCAATAAACCTAAAGGAGTCTCCAACTGCATGTGCGCCTGTGGTACAAGCGGTTGACACAGCGTGATTTGGCCCTTTCAGTTGGTACTTAATGCTGATATGGCCTGCTGCCATATTGACTAAAATCTTTGGCACAAAAAACGGGCTGACCTTATTGTAACCCTTTGTTTTAAATAAGGCAGCTGTGTCAGAAATCTCTTCCAGTGGAACCATTCCCATCCCAATTGCCACACCGGCACTTAAGCGATCCTGTTCAGACTGGGGAGACCAGCCGGAGTCCTTCATTGCTAGTTCTGCTGCACCGATGGCCATCACAGTGGCAGAACTCATGGATTTGATCTCTGACTTTGACACAAAGCTTTCTTCACTGAACTGACCCTCCTTTTTTCCCCTTGGCACACAAGCAGCCACTCTACATGGGATGCCTGCATATTCTTCCCCATCTAGTGATGTAATCCCACTGCCTCCTTCAAGAAGGTGCTTCCACACAAACTGAGTCCCCACACCAAGAGGGGACACTAAGCCAATACCTGTAACCACTACTTTCCTTCGACATGCAGGCAGTGACTTGCTGAAAGCTCTTCTGTGGTTTTGTAAACGTAGACTTAAATTCAGACTCCGGAGATGAAGATTTGCAACCTTTAACAGATCCTGTGAGTGCTGTGAGAACATGGTGGCAATAATCACTTCAAGCACATTCCTGTAACTGGAGGGGGAAGACACAAACAACAATAAAACAGCCAGTGTGGAAAACATTCCAAGTACATTAAATTAATAACTTGCTTTTTACAAGAAAGTCTATTTTCAAACCTGTAGAAAGAGACGTAGTTTCTGAGCCTGTAATCAGGAATAGTACAAGTTATCACAGAGAAGGCACAGAAACACAGTCACTTTGGGAATGCCTCTAGTGGCCTCATCTACCTTAAGCTGCTAATGAATATGAGTTTGCACTACTGTGGCCTGCAACACACTCTCTGGTTTTGCTGCAAAACTCTCCCCAGGGCTTTAACCACCAGATGGCTGAAGGTATGGACAATGAACATTAACAGCTTCATTCTTCTAAGGGCCAAAGTGTGTGTTCACCTTAAAGTGTATGTCCTAGCATTTCCAAGTTAAAGATGTTGTTATCTCAACCTTCATGTCAGGCAGAACGGTCTCAAAAACCCAGAATAGAAGTCAATAAATTCTTCCTGGTTCTGCCACCAACATAATTACATAGCTTGGACAAGAGTCCTCATCTTTCTACCTCCATCTATCCCTTATCAGCCTTGGGTATTTACACTGTCAGGGGACAGCACCTGAAGTGGTTTGAGCAAGATGCGCTACACCACCACCTCCCATCGGCAGACCCCACATATCAAGAGGGATGCCAAGCGATGGCAGAAGGCCACTGCTGAGTACAAATACTTCAGGTGGAACAAGAGGACCATGCCCAGCAGTGATGCTGCCATACTGCACCACACTCTCTCCCTTGCCTTGGCAACTGCCAGGTC